TGAGTTTCTTGACTGGTTTGGAGCCAAAGGAGGCCATTGGAGCACCATTTGTAAAGGGGTCTTCAAGGGTGAGACCCCCCTCCTTTTTTTTTCCCATTTTCAATGAAGAAGGGACACCCACTTTTCTCAAACTTTCTAGAATATACTTAACCCCCTAAGGGGTGTTTTGGAAAAATAATTAAAAGTTAGTTTTTAACTTCTAATCAAACTTTCTAACTTTTTTGGAAAGTGATTTAGAAAGTTGGTAAAAAATTACTTTTTTACTTTTTGAGTTAATATTTATTTATGATATCACATCACCATGCCATAATTTAAAAAGACCAAAATACCCTTTCCCTATTTGGTAATTACAGAGTTTCATCCTTTCAATCTCCAGCACCTTAAAAAGTGAATGGAGGGTATATTCGTAAATTGACATCTTGCGTTTAAAAGGAAATTCTATTTACACACCACACATCATCTCTCCTCCATCCATCATTCCTCATGCCTCACCACCTCCAACCTCACTCCCAAACCCTTTTCCATCCCCTTTTCTCCCTCCATCACCGACTCAACCACCTCCCTACCTCATCATCTTCTCCACCTCCGTTACGCCTTTCCACCGAAGCCATCTCTACCACTTCATTGGCCCTCCTTCTTCTGCCACCCTCTCATCTAGAACTCACAGGTGACCTCTGCTATCGCCTCACCCTTTGCTCTCATTTGTCAGATGAATTTGCAGATCTAAAAACCCTAGATCTAGGGTTTAGGGAGGCGGTGGAAGGAGGGCGGTTTAAGACGACGAGAAGGCTAGGTTAGAGTGTCATTTGCTAAGGAAAAGGGTTGGGCTAGAGATTCACGGCAAAGAAAAGGGTCGCGGTATCGAATCAGGTGGCGGTGGCGACAAAAGGAGAAAACGGAGAGGCTTTTCTGTCAGAGAGAGAGACGCAAAGAAGAATAAATGAGAGGGTTTCCGATCGATGCACAGAAGGCGAGTTACAGAGTGCGATGGGTGGGTAAAACTTCGCAAGGGGTCACCGGCGAGGTAAGGAGTCCGTGGGGATTGTGATGGTGGTTGGGTTTTGGTGACGGTGACCAAATATGGAAGCCAGCAGTGGAGGCTAGTAGTAGATGGTGGTGCCGAAAAGAGTCTAGGTATAGAATTGTGTCCAAAATGATAATTTGATAAAGGGTTTTAAGTGTAATAAAAAATTATGAAAATAATCTATACTGGGAGATTTTGTGGCGTGTAAATAGAATTACCCGCGTTTAACCAACCTCCCAAATGGGTTTGTGCACAAAAAAGCCGATGTTTGGCTTTTTGAACAAATGCACAAACGCAGCTTGTAACCACATACCCAAAGCATGCCTTAATATACATACATATTCTGATTAGTTTGAGTAGAATTAAGTTAGTTGTTAATTATATATTAATTTAATTAAACACTACTCAATCTTAAGTAATTATAATTTACACTTAATTTAATTAATTCAATTAAAACCTAATTAAGTCTTGATTTAATCATTTCAAATTTATACAAATCTCACTTTAGTCTTGATTAATTATAATTACCACACAACTTAATTAATCCCAATTAAGACTTAATTTAATCATTCTAAATTTTTTTAATCTGAAGTAGATTTTTAATTAAACTCTTATAAGGCTCTACATATTAAACTCATTTAAAATAAAATTTTCCTATTAAACGAATCACCACGTAAATTTTAATTAATTAATAATGTCTAACTCCATCCATTTAGAATTAATCCTAACTAATCACAAATTCCTTTTGACTTAAATAATTAATTTCAATTAAGGCCCAATCAAATTCTCAAATGGCTGCCAATATCAAATTAAACTTATTACCATCATTAATTTTGATTTTCCAAATCACTACAGCCTTCAATTTCAAATCAAACTCAAGATTTCTCTCAATAACTTACATATTTAAATTAGACACCTCTTAAGTAAATTTAATTCAGAACAATCATAATTACTAATTGTTATAACCAAATTAGCTTAATTAATTCTAATTCGAACCCAATTAATTAAATCTTAATTTTACTAAATTGAATTAAAACCGAATCGAATTTAATTAAACTCCCATTTGATTCCATACTTGAAATTAAATTAATTCAACTCATCAATTACACTTCTTAAGCCATTTAAGCCTTCAATTTCTAATTCCAAAATAAATCTTTTATACAATATACAAATCAGACTCCATAATTATCATAAATCCCAAACTAAATCAGAATAATAACTTTAAATAAAATATAAATCTTCTTAATTAATTAGATGCAAGATATCATACGTGACAAGATCGTCACACTAGGATTCTCAAAGTTTTGCCCTCCTACAATATCACCTCCAAGTGAACGTTCAAAGACGCATAAACCAAATTTTCTTGACCCCATTCATGTGAACACTCACCTGGAAAATATACAATTGAAATTGATGACAGACAGGTAAGTATTATTTATCATGTACTCCCACCAAAAGACGCATTCATGAGCACCCCCAACAGTATAAACCAAAGTAAAACCATTAAACCTGCCTCAAACTTCAATCATTACACGATTCCCATGATATATAAAACTTGGAAAACTATATAATCCTGCTGCTGCTATTTCAGTATAAACTATAGTAACAACGCAAGAAATACACATGAGATTATGATTACCACAACTTCCATCTCTTTAATTAAAGATAATATTATATGCAATGCAAAGTGCTGCACCATAGAAAACATAGATCAACTTTAACAAAGGCAGCATTTGGTACCTAGCATGGCTCCATAAGGCCAGAATACTAATGTTAATTTCACACTCACCGGAATACTAATATTGGTTTAACACAGATTCCCAGAATAAGTGAGTGACACCCAGTAAGAGTTGGCCTTAAAAAAGATATGTGAAAGACAATTAAGGAAGCAAGATTAAAATTCTGGATGCACTTCAAAATCCACCATCCCTTCTGCCAGCAACAATCCATTCCTGCAACGTGAACATCCATTGGCGTCAAGATATGAATGCACAAACCTCTTTAAAATTATGCTCAAGTAAAGAGAAAAGGATTAGAACTTCAAGATATGTATGTAATCACTTATGCGTCTCACGTGAAGAAATAGTTCAAATCGGATGTGAACATGGGGTCTTACAAAGATGGCATCTGGTAATAGTTTTGTTCTCTTTTCAACAATTATTACATTATAGTCAGAATGCCCTTTCTCAGCTTAATCAACAGATTATCATAAAAATTGTAGGGGTGGGGCAAATTTCAGACACAGGCATATAAGCAAGGAAACAACAAAATAAAATAAAAAAATAAAAAAGAGAGAAAAAATAATCTCGTGCTGAAGTGGTTATCTTTTTTGAGCAGCTACGATTTGAAAAAAAAAAACTCTTCACTGTGATATTAGTATATGACCAAGGAATTAAATATTTGTTTTGTCAATCCAAACCTGTGGTAACATGATGCTACTTGGCCCACAAGAGACCACCAAAGACCCAACTCAAATATGAAATTACAATTACTAAAGACATGCAATCCAGCTCTGATAACTATTGCAGTCTTAAGTGTCTTAGGACTGCATGTTTACTTTAATCCCAAGGTCATCCACTCCCCTTTACACAACCGACAGAATATGGAAAAGAAAAATTGTCCAACAAAATATGCAAAAGCAACACTTCTAGGTTCTTTAGGCTGTGATGAACTCAACCATCCCCACTTTGTCTTTGTAAACTCCTTTCTCAACAAAAATGGAAATCACCTTGCGGATACATCAATGGAAGTCCCCATAGCCTGAAACTGTGAGCTCAGTGCTTCAATTTCGTTATACTAATTTTAAATCATTCTCACCTAATACCACAATTTAACTCTGGATTATTGGTGAAAATATGTCTGAGTTTCTTTCTCTTCTATTTTTCCCATTTTTTCTTTTTTTTTCCCCGACAAAACAAAACTGAGTATGAGGCAAGTTCAATTTCAGTTCTTAATTATTTTCATGGCATAAAAATGCATAATATTCCAAAGATTTTTCCATGCAAGATACCGTTGTGTAACCCGGTCCACTAAGAAGTTGAATTCAGCAACAGACCCATAGAATAGCAAAGAACGAATGAGACTGACTGAATTCATCACGATATATACATCAAACATAAAATGACTTTTTGAATCACTTTCTGGTAAGTGAACCACAACTCTTCTTGGTCTAGTGCGTGTGACACCACAACCTTGTCCCAGTTTTAAGTTCCTTCTCTCTATGATTCTCTTTTAGGCCCACACCTTTCTCCTTTCTATAAACTTCCAATCCATCTCCAATAATATGGATGTTAAGGTACTACACATTCTCAAAGCTTCTATAATGAACCATGACCATCCCAATCCTTTGATCTTCTACTGTGTTACATGGACTCAGATACATATGCCGGGTTCGGATGTGTATCTAAAGGTCGGACTCATCAAGCCTCAAATTTTAGAATACCTAGACTAAGGCCTCGTTTGGGAACAAGCTAATTTAGTAGCTTTTTGGCTATTTGGCTAAAATTTGAGCTAAAAAAAAAGTAGTATGTTTGGGATGACTTTTTGACTTTTTACGAAAAGATGTGTAAAAAGTAGAGAGAAAAGAGAATCTTTGACTTTTTGGTATGAGTTGTTGGCTTTTTGGCTAATTTAATAACTTTTTGACTTTTTGGCTAAAAAGTTCGGTTGCCAAACGAGGCCTAAGCAAAAAATGGTGTTACAAGTGTCAAAAAGGCATTTTACTTATTATATAGCAATTATAAAACAGCATACATATACCGATAGTGTTAAATAGCAATATATGAGAACTGTCCTATAAAAAGTGTCGGACACATATCCCAAACCATTATTCGATAGGGTATTTGATTTATTTTAAAGAGTCCATTAACATATTTGTTCTTTCATATTAGTAAGTGTTAAAGTGTAGCAACATAAAAACAAAAATTTCATCAACTATGAAGCAACGACATCACATTATATTCACCCAAAAGAGACATCAAGCTATAGTTTCAGAAGGCATAAAAACAGAAGCAATATATTTCTAATTTGGATGCAAGAAATGTCAACACAATAAAACAAGGGAAGTTACAAACAAAGACCATGTGTGACAGTTCAAGTTTTCAAGGCTATTTACCCTTCCTTTAACTAGTTTGACTTCAGAAGTAAAGTAAATCTTAGTTTGACTAGTTTGCCTCCCCCTTTAACTAGTTTGACTTCAGAAGTAAAGTAAATCTTAGTTTGACTAGTTTGCCTCCCCCTTTAACTAGTTTGACTTCAGAAGTAAAGTAAACTCTCTCTCTCTCTCTCTCTCCTTCATCTTACAATCAATCCAAACCTGGGATAGGTTACACATTCCAAAGGAATTGATAATCATAGAAATAACAATCTTACGAATGATAATCCCATCATAAGGTTTTAGGTCATATTTCTGTGAGTTTTAACGTCATGATGATTATTATATCTTATCACTAGTAATTTAATCATATTTTTCATTGACTATTCTGATTAATTAAATATTTACCAGCATTTTTTCTTGAATACACATGACTTTTTCGTTGCAAATATTCTTTCTGAGATATAACTTTTAAGTTGATAAAATTAAAAAATTAAAATTTTTCTTAAGATACACCATTCATGATTATTTTCGATATTATTAACGTTCATGCTATAGAGACCTCAGCCAGAACCGACTCTGTGGAAGTATACCATCAAGTAAACTTAATATCACAACTATGTATGTGGCTGGTGAAATCTGGTGTAGAAGTTAGGAACTAAAAAAATAATTCTAGTATGAGATAACATAAATATTGCAACATGACATACATATATAATAATAGTAACAAATTAAATATGAGATCTGTGTTTATACGAGATTTAAAAACTGTGAGTTGCCCATGCTGGCCATATCATTTTTATGGTTTTCGCAAGGCGAAAGTAAGATCATGTTAACACTACAAAGATTTTATTATGAATCTGTACAATACAGCTAATCACTCTTGATTTGCACATCTTATTTTGGTTCCCCTCACCACACTAAGAAAAAGGGTCTGGTTCAGCAATTATCCCTCACAATTTCCTAAAAAACACGGCAGGATTGATTTGACATAGAGCCGTGATCTATCAGATAGCCTCTTTATTTCCATAAAAAGTCCCTTGCCAGTCTCCAAAAAATGTGTTGTCAATTGGATCTCCAAGTGGCATGCAACAATGGTGCCACATTATCTCTCCATACTCAATATCAATCATTCAAAGCTATCTAAAACTATTAGATAAAAGCCATATATAGGCAAATAGAAACCTGTAGAGGCACAGAAATTAAGTGTCAACCTAATCATTGAGGTCGCCTCGATTAGATGAACAATAACGATTAAATGAGCATGGGTCAAAGCCCGAAGAAAGTGGGGCAACTAGAAGGCCGAACCAGGTCAAACCCACTAAACCTGAATTGACCTTTGCAGCAAACTATCTGAGGGAACCTGCGAGGTAGTACTTGTTAGGATTAGTCCACTCGTGATAAAAGTGGGTCCTGTACAATTTATTAAGTTGGTTTAAACATGTATTTGGGTTAGGATAGTAGAGTTTGGAATCAACTACGAAACTTAATATGTGTAGGATTTAATTACCTAATTGTATAGAACTAGGATTCTCATGGATAGACTAAAAAGAAGTAAAAAGAATGTTGTGGCTTACCTTTGATTGAGGTAGAACCACGTCTATATAATGGATTCATGACACATTTAAGAAACAAAACAAACAAGGAACTGAGTCCATAATTCATACAATCATGGATTTTATACAATCTACTATAAATAAAATATTTTAATTTCCTATATTCAACAGACTGCTTTAAATAGTCATGTGAATTATAAGGTTTCTCAGAGAGATATTGAGGTGAGGGAAAACATACAGAGGTAAGGGGTGAGAGAAAAATATTGTGAGGGCACTCAGTGAGCAAGGCCTCAACTACTCTTGCACATGGGGTTCGAGTAGTGGTGTACCTTTTGAGTGTTTTGGTAATCTCACATTCTCTATTTTGTTCCCAACCCTCTTTCCATTATCGAAAATTCCAGCAGTTAATGTCTAATGTACAAGTAATTATGGCACAACTTTCTCATTGACAATAAAAAATTTAAAAAATGTTAAATCGAAACCATTAGATTTTCTTTGGGTATTATAGGGAAACATAGAAGAGCAAGTGATTCATCGGTCCAAAATGGGTTCATGGTATTGAAGTTCCAAGTAGCGACTTATAAGATAGAAACCAAGGAAGTAGAAGAAAGTAGAACATGAGGAAAAGAAGTTACGCACGATTAGAGCAGCAGGCCACCAACAAAATTCAAATGACGATCGAGAAGATAAGAGCGGCAAGACAAAACAGAAGCACTCAGGGTGCCTCTGCGATAATCGAGGTCTGTGGTTTTAGAAACCCTGAATATCGTGCAGTGAAGGCAGGAGTTGGACGAGCTTTCATCAGGAACAACCCAAAGCAAACAGAAATACTGACCAGCCAAATGAAGAAAGGCTGGCCTAAAATCATAACCATCACACTGTAGTCGCACATGAATCAACAAATCTTCTATGGGCCCTGAAAACAATATCTTCTCAGTGAGATCGTAAGCATTTAGCTCGCGATCAACCCAATACAATGTATTGTCAACTAGCACAGGTTGGCAGAAACTGCACCGAAGGCGAAGGTAACAACCCATATCAGACTTGAGACGAACCCAACATTGCGTAGTAACATCAAACTCATAGACAAGACTAGGGTGTTGTGAACCCACCAAAATCTTCTGATTCTGATTCTTTGGGGAACCAGCAGCAGCAAACAAACAATCAGACAAAGGAAGACGACGAGATGGGGGTGAAGGTAGAGCTGTCCATTGACCCTGAACCCCCCCATCAGGCCCACATGGCTCAAAAACCTCAGCCCAATCACCACCACAATCCGAGCCGCCAAAGACGTATAACTTGCCATCGAGAGCCACAACTTTAGCTTCTGATCTGGGATTAATCATGGGAGGAGCTTCCTTCCAGCCCTCCGTGGGACGATTAATATCAAAATAGCGGACTTCCCGAGACTGACACAAAGAAATATCACCACCAGCGGCGCCACCACCACCGCCACCAAGACAATAGACAGTGGAGCCCAGGGTAGTCCAGCAGGTGCCCGAAATTGAGAAGGGGAGTAAGTCATCATGGATCTGGATTGGAGACAGCATCGGTCGACGCTCTCCATCGTGCCGACGATCATGTTGAAAGGCAATGTCTCCTACAACACTTTGAAATCGTCTTCTCCTCCTATGCAACTCTTCCTTCAAATCGTCCCATGAAATACTGAAGACGAACCATTTAGATATAAAAAAATTTCTAGCTCCAGTTTGTCCGTTAAAACAAAACGACCATTGAAGAAGAGGACGAGGACCAGATGATTCTGAAATTTCTTTGGGCCCTCGGGATCTTGCATTTTCACTCCCATCTCTTCTCCTTCTATCCTTCCGTTTTCGTTGCTTCAACAACGCGGACATCGCCCCTCTCTCTCTCTCTCGCCGCAAGCCGATGTTACTTTCTAGGGTTTTTATAGAAAAACCATATCCCTAAACCCTCTTCTTAAATAGTACAACCAGGGTTGATCAATGGGACGGGCCGGGTTTTCGGCCCATAAATATTGTGTCCACATTCATGATATTTGGCCCGTTTGGTAAAATTATTGAAAAGTTAATAAATTATATCTTACAAATGTAAATATAAGTTGGCTCGTTTGGTGCAGGTATAGGAATATGAATTTAAAAAATAAAGTAGTGTTTGATTGATAAGTTGTAAAATAATTTTTTATTATATAATTATCATTTTTGTCTTTATATGATATAAAAATGATTATTTTATAATTTTTTTAGTTTTGATTTTAAAAAAATTATTTCATTAATAAAAATTAATATAATTAGTATTACAAAAATTATTATTTTCATTTTTTCATTATAAATTATTATTTTCACTTTTTCATTATAAATCAATTAAAATAAAATTTCATTATAAATTAATTAGTGTCAATTAATGGCTTATTTTCATTTTTTTCATTATAAATCAATTAGTATAAAATTATTTCATTATAAATTAATTAGTGTCAATGAATGACTTATTTTCATTTTTTCATTATTATTATCAATTAATTAGTATCAATTAATGACTTATTTTCATTTTTTCATTATAAATTATTATTTTCACCTTTTCATTATAAATCAATGTGTAACAATTCGAAAATTTAAGTTGTTCCTTAAATTTTATACTACTATTATAGTTGTATGTGATAATATATTATTAAATAAATAATAATAATAAATACAGAATCTAATTTGGCATTGGATTATCAAATATGAGATTAATTAGGAATTATTATTTGGGATCAAATTAACAGAAATATGGAATTATAATACTAATTTGGCCAAATTAAAATTAAAGATAGTAAATAAATGATATAAAAGTAAGAGTAAATAAATAAATAAATAATAATAATAATAATAATAATAATAATAATAATAAGGGTGTGGTAGTAAAATAAATAATTAATTTTCTGTTGGTATACGATAGAGTGTAATTTAATTAGGATTAATTTATTTATATAGTTATATTAGAAAACTGGGCCAGAGTGTAATTATCTTAAATATTTATTAAAGATAAGTATAAATCCATATAATTTATGATCAAATCTGAGAAGGGATTTGAGCTGCCACGTGTTGGACTCAGGAAGCTTTTACCTCTCTATAAATAGGGAGGAGGTGATCAACTATGTGGAAAGAAAAAGGAAAAAAAGGAAGGGAGAAAGGCACGTAAGTTGTTGGTAGTAGGAATTTATAGTAGGAAGGTTGTGATAGTGGAGTAAGGCTAAGGGTCAATATTAAAGTGAGTTATATTATACCTTGTGTCACCATAATATATTTTACAAATGTTTTGACTTACCATAATTTATTTTATACAAGTTATGTTTTATAAATTATATTAATATTTTAATTACGTAAGTTATTTTCTGAACTTTATTTGTTTAAAATGAAACCCATAGATATGTTTGTGTAAATTTTAGTATATATTTGACTATGACCTTATAAATAATTATGTTTTGAAAGTACCACCACGGGAGTCTCACGTCCCGGGAGACTTAAATAACCATTGGTCTCTGTTTGGTCACTTTGTGGCCCTTTATTGTCATGGATCTATTGACCTCTGTTCTGTGCGAAGCAAAGTGTTATGCGGAGATAAGTGTTATACTATTGTGGAAGCCACCTCTATAATCCGTACGAACCACCTATTGAATCCGTACCTCTGTTCTGACTATCACTTCTATGACCTCTGTTCTGTTTTATTCAGTACCGTGATTATGGTTATTTATTTACATAATCTCAGTTTTGCTACTTAAATGATTATTTGTTCAGACTAAATTATTTTAAATATTTTAGTTACATAACTATCCATGGTTATTTTGTGTCTCTTATACTCCTGACATAATATTTCTCACTCTGTCATGTGCTTATAGTTGTTTACCAATTTTCAAGAAACAGTGCAATTCAAAAATAGCTTTTGGAAAATCATAGACGCGAGACTGTGAAATAGACACACATAACACTTTTATGATATTTTTATATGTAAATATCGGCCTTTTTTGAGGTCAGACTAATTGAAAATACGCAACTCTCGATAGATTAATTTTGGATACCCTCAGTTAAATATTATTTCGGCTCGAGTTTATTTATTTGTTCAGAATTGGCCGAGGTAATTTCAGTTAACTAGCGATCACGATCAAGGAGAGGGCCGTGACACAATAGTATAAAATTAATTCATTATAATTAATTAGTGTCATTAATGGCTTTTTTCTTTATTTTTTTTCATTATAAATTAAATTTTTTCTTTATTAATTTTCTCTTTTGCCATTATAGAATCAATTAGTATAAAATTATTTCGTTATAAATTAATTAGTGTCAATTAATGGCTTATTTTCATTTGTTCATTATAAATTATTATTTTCATTTTTTCATTATAAATCAATTAGTATAAATTATTTCATTATAAATTAATTAGTGGCAATTAATGGCTTTTTGTAATCAATTAATACTAAAATTATTAATTAGTATTAATTAATATAAAATTTATTTTAGTAATCGCTAAAATGCATAATTATTAATATTTTTTTATTAAAAAAAAAAGATGAAAACCTCTAGGAAAAAAAAAAGTGAAAACCCTAGCTTCGACAGTCACAGCGTCGACATGGCAGAGCTAGGGTTTTGTCACGCCGACACCCCCTTCTTCTTCTTCTCCTCCTCCTCCTCATTCTCATCTCACCACCGACAGCCCCTTGCAAAACCCTAGCCACAATCACGAAAAGAGAGAGTTGGGGTTTTGTCACACCATCGATCGCGAAGAGGGAGAGAGAGCTAGGGTTTGTCATGCTGTTGATCGCGAAAAGAGAAAGAAAGAGAGAGAGCTAGGGTTTTGTCACGCGATCGTCACTGTCAAGCTATCTCGCGATGCCGAAGATCGTGAAGAGAGAGACAGAAAGAGAGCTAGGGCTTCACTGCCTCTGGTTCGTACGAGAGAGAGAAAGAGAGAAAAGAGAGAGCGCTGGTTCACTAGTTCGTACGAGAGAGAGAGAATAAGAGAAAGAGCTCTAGTTCGCAAGAAATCACCTCCCTTTCGCCAGAAATCGTCTCTCAAAGACGTGCGAGAGACAGAAATGAGTTGTGTTTGGTTTATCTACATGGCACACTTGTAATAACTTGAAATTGTGAGGGGCATTTAAGTCATTTTGCCCCTCAAATAGCAGCTACGCAGTTAAGCTGTTTGGAAAAGCTTCTCCTCTCCCACTCAAAGAAAAAGTCAATTTTTGACTTAGAAAAAGCTATAATCTGTATTATTAAGCTAAACCAAATACACCAAAATAACTTAAATTAAACTAAAAACTAAAATAAGCTGAAAATAAGCACAACTAAACAGGGCCATTAATGGATTTTTTTATTTTTTATTTTTTTGCGTTTTGATCAATCAACAAATTGATATGAGTTACTTATTTAAAAAAATTAAATTAAATTAAAATTACGTCTCACAAAAAAGTTAAAATTTGATAGTTATACACATTTACTTTTTCTTTTTAATAAAGGGATTTGGTGATACACTCCTCACTGTCTAATTTATATTTCAAAAGGACAAGAATTATATAGGTACTTTCAAAATCTCCTAATATTTTAAAACTTGTTTCTTTTACTATATTACCCTCATATCTATTAGCTTTCTTATTAAGCCATTCTCACAGTGTATTTCAGAGTAAAGTTTACTATGATTCAAAATAAAATTTTATATTGTTGAGCAAATCAACATGTTTTTAATCAGAATAAAATTTTACTGTTACAAAAAATAAAATACATACTAAATGAATAAACCAGAGTCAAATTTTACTTTAAGATCTATTAACAAATAAAAAAAAAAGAAAAAAAATATCCAATTGGAAACAACAAGGCAACATCCACAGCTCAGATTCATGTTCTCCATATCTATTACAATCTGTCTCATTTTCATCAACATCAACACAAGAAAAAAAAAAGAAAAAGAAGTATCTGTTGTTATATGTTTCTTCATCTACATCATCATCATCATCAACAACACAACAACAACAAATGAAATGAAAAAAAGAAAAAAAAAATCATATTATCATCCACATCCAGTGAAGGCTAACAACAACTTAGATATATGTTATTGATCTAAGAGATTATTTATTTATATAATCTCAGTTTTGCAACTTAAATGATTATTTGTTCAGACTAAGTTATTTTAAATATTTTAGTTACATAACTATCCATGGTTATTTTATGTCCCTTATACTCTTGACATAACATTTCTCACTCTGCCATGTCCTTATAGCTGTTACCAATTTTCAGGAAACAGTGCAATTCAGAAATAGCTTTTGGAAAGTCTTAGACGTGGGGTTGCGGAATAGACACACACAACACTTTTATGATATTTTTATATGTAATTATCAGCCTTTTTGGTCAATAAATTTTGTAATAAAAATAGAAGCTCTGATGATTATGTTGGTACCCTCATTTAAATATTATTTCTGCTCGTGTTTATTTATTTGTTCAAGAATTGGCCGAAGGTAACTTCAGTTACTAGCGATCACGATACTTAATCCTTAGGTACAGGGAGCGGGTCATGACACAATTAGTATAAAATTATTTCATTATAAATTATTTAGTGTCAATTAATGGCTTATTTTCATTTTTCATTATAAATTATTATTTTCCTTTTTCATTATAAATCAATTAGTATAAAATTATTTCATTATAAATTAATTAGTGTCAATTAATGGTTTATTTTCATTTTTTCATTGTAAATTGTTATTTTCATTTTTTCATTATAAATCAATTAGTATAAAATTATTTCATTATAAATTAATTAGTGTCAATTAATGGCTTATTTTCATTTGTTCATTATAAATTATTATTTTCATTTTTTCATTATAAATCAATTAGTATAAATTATTTCATTATAAATTAATTAGTGACAATTAATGGCTTTTTGTAATCAATTAATACTAAAATTATTA